AAAATAAAATCTCTGGAGCAAGAGGAATAACATCAGCATTGTCCATGAGGACAAAAAAGTGGAGAAAACCCCCAGCTGATTTTTTCATCATCCGGAAAGGAGACACCAGTGAGCAGCAGCCACTGGATTTGCCAGCTGAGCACATTTCGTATAGATGAGATCACACAATATGTGGTATTCTGTGCCTGGCTTATATTACTTAATTGGAGTTTTTCAAGGTTCCTCCATGTTGTAGAACATGGCAGTACTTCTTTTTGTGTGTGATGGACTGTGAATTGTATGGATGTGCCACAGTTTGCTCAGACATTCATCAACGATGCACATTTGCATTGCTTCCGTTGACTGCTGTGGCTAATGCTGCTGCGAACACTACACTCAGGTACGAGTTGTTTGAACACCCATGTTCACCGCCTATATGTATATACCTAGGAGTCACATTGCCAGGCTGTATTGGTAACTATGTTTAACTTCCAGAGGAACTGCCAGACTTTTCCACAGCAGCTTAACCACTGTACACTCCCACCAGCAGCCTGTGAGGGTGACAGCTTGTCCACATCCTCACCAGCCTGTGAGGGTTACAGCTTGTCCACATCCTCACCAGCCTGTGAGGGTTACAGCTTGTCCACATCCTCACCAGCCTGTGAAGGTGACAGCTTGTCCACATCCTCACCAGCCTGTGAAGGTGACAGCTTGTCCACATCCTCACCAGCCTGTGAAGGTGACAGCTTGTCCACATCCTCACCAGCCTGTGAAGGTGACAGCTTGTCCACATCCTCACCAGCCTGTGAGGGTGACAGCTTGTCCACATCCTCACCAGCCTGTGAGGGTTACAGCTTGTCCACATCCTCACCAGCCTGTGAGGGTGACAGCTTGTCCACATCCTCACCAGCCTGTGAGGGTTACCACATCCTCACCAGCCTGTGAGGGTGACAGCTTGTCCACATCCTCACCAGCCTGTGAGGGTGACAGCTTGTCCACATCCTCACCAGCCTGTGAAGGTGACAGCTTGTCCACATCCTCACCAGCCTGTGAAGGTGACAGCTTGTCCACATCCTCACCAGCCTGTGAGGGTGACAGCTTCTCCACATCCTCACCAGCCTGTGAGGGTGACAGCTTGTCCACATCCTCACCAGCCTGTGAAGGTGACAGCTTGTCCACATCCTCACCAGCCTGTGAAGGTGACAGCTTGTCCACATCCTCACCAGCCTGTGAGGGTGACAGCTTGTCCACATCCTCACCAGCCTGTGAGGGTGACAGCTTGTCCACATCCTCACCAGCCTGTGAAGGTGACAGCTTCTCCACATCCTCACCAGCCTGTGAGGGTGACAGCTTGTCCACATCCTCACCAGCCTGTGAGGGTGACAGCTTGTCCACATCCTCACCAGCCTGTGAGGGTGACAGCTTGTCCACATCCTCACCAGCCTGTGAAGGTGACAGCTTCTCCACATCCTCACCAGCCTGTGAGGGTGACAGCTTGTCCACATCCTCACCAGCCTGTGAGGGTGACAGCTTGTCCACATCCTCACCAGCCTGTGAGGGTGACAGCTTCTCCACATCCTCACCAGCCTGTGAAGGTGACAGCTTGTCCACATCCTCACCAGCCTGTGAAGGTGACAGCTTCTCCACATCCTCACCAGCCTGTGAGGGTTACAGCTTGTCCACATCCTCACCAGCCTGTGAGGGTTACAGCTTGTCCACATCCTCACCAGCCTGTGAGGGTTACAGCTTGTCCACATCCTCACCAGCCTGTGAAGGTGACAGCTTGTCCACATCCTCACCAGCCTGTGAAGGTGACAGCTTGTCCACATCCTCACCAGCCTGTGAGGGTGACAGCTTGTCCACATCCTCACCATCCTGTGAAGGTGACAGCTGCTCCACATCCTCACCAGCCTGTGAAGGTGACAGCTTCTCCACATCCTCACCAACACTTGCTGTTTTCTGAAGCTTTATTTTTTGATGAGCATCCTCGTAGATGTGAAGTGATATCTCATTGTGGTTTTCATTTGCATTTTTCTCATGACTGATGACACTGGTCATCTTTCGTGTGCTTGCTGGCCATTTGAATTTCTTCTTTGGAAAAATCTATTTAAGTCCTTTGTCCATTTTTAAATTGTGTTTTCTTTTTGCTGTTGAATTGTATGAAGGTTTTTTTTTAATAAACAATTTTTCTAGTATCAAATGCTTGCAAACCCAAATGTATCTTTTCTCTCTCCTCCTTACTCTCTTCTTTTCCATTTGTATGATGCATATCAGAAGAATGACCTTTTGTGTTGAGACAAACTGAACTCTATTTCCTTTTAACTCTGCAATTAGATGAACCTATCAACCTACGATCAAATATTAACAAAATTAGCCAATAAACTTGATTTTCTAGTTTGATTTCTTTGAAATGATGTGTCTTATTCTTCAGAATTATCCATGAAATTCTTCCTTGGGGATTGCTTTTTGGGTCTGTGATTTGGAAATGGATTCCAGTCTGGAGGAGAAGATGTGTGATAAAATTTGATACTATTAATATTTCTCCCTCAAATGAGTTTATTTTCCAACATAGTTTATTGTTTCCAAACTATTCAGAAATTTTCTAAACTATCATTTCATAACAATTTGATTGGTGACTGTGCTGCTAGAAAAAAATATGCCATCCACGTTTCCCTTGGATCCTTCCAAAGAAGGTGTAGTATAGAAAGAATAAATATGAAGTACAAAATATGCATTTTATTGTCTTATCTATGAGTCTTCTTAGTGACTTTTTTAAATGACTCAAACTTTTGAATATACACACTGTTTTTATCAAACAATTATTCATGTATGTATCATACAGCCACCCTTTGTCTATGCATGGGATACATTCAGAATTATCATTATTCCTTGGGACTCTTGAAGTGAAGGTATTATCTTGGTGGAGAAGACAGTTTTCCTAAGAGTCAAATGAAACTGCTTTCCCCTTTTTTAAAATGAGAGATTTCAGAGATGTCTCCAAACAAATGCTCCATAGAGAAAGAAGTTCACATTTTTAATGTGCTGAGTTGGACCCGCACAGATCTTTGTCCCTATCTTACAATTACTCAGTCCATGGCTAACATTTAAGGTAATCTTTTTTTTTTTTTTTTTTGGCAGAGAGACAAAAGCAGCTTGGAGTGCCCACTTTCCCCTAAAGTCCTAACTTCAAAGGTGCTTTTACAAGGTACAGAAAGGTCTGTGAATCAGAGTCTCTGCCAGCGCCCAGTCTCCTGCATCCTCTCTCCAGACGCGGGAAGTTCAGAATCACCACCTAGCCCTTTCCTCTTCAGATGCTCACGCTGTTTACCCATGCAGAAAGTCCAAAGCCACGGTTTAATGTCTCCTTTTCAAAATGCATTTCTAGGTAAGAGTCACGGTTAGATATGGTTGCTGTAGACAGGTTAAATAAGGCGGAAGACAGCTTGCAGAAAATATGATGAAGCTGCTTAGAAGAATAATGAAGCTCTGCAAGATACACCAATTAACATAGGCAAATTCAGAATAATATCTAGAGCCTGCTATTGTTTATATGAAAATGGGGTATGGATTCATCTCTGCTTCCATATACACGGGACACTTCTGGAAGGATTAATAAGATGCTAATGTCAATTACTATGAAATCCCTGGGGGGGGGGCCGGGTGCGGTGGCTCAAGCCTGTAATCCCAGCACTTTGGGAGGCCGAGGCGGGTGGATCATGAGGTCAAGAGATCGAGACCATCCTGGTCAACATGGTGAAACCCCGTCTTTACTAAAAATACAAAAAATTAGCTGGGCACGGTGGCGAGTGCCTGTAATCCCGGCTACTCAGGAGGCTGAGGCAGGAGAATTGCCTGAACCCAGGAGGCGGAGGTTGCGGTGAGCCGAGATAGCGCCATTGCACTCCAGCATGGGTAATAAGAGGGAAACTCCGCACCCCCGCCACCCCCCAAAAAAAAAGCAAACCCAGCGGATAGGAGAGAAGAAGACACATCCTTTTCACTTTCCACTTTTGCTTAAGATAATTTCAAGAGAAATAAATCTAAATGACCCTGGGACTAAAATCCAATAGGGGCAAAATGTGCAGCGTTATCGATTGTACGTTTTAATACCACACATGATATACACCCACACAGCAGAATCGTGTCCTGGCAGCCTCTGCTTGTCTCCCACTCTCAAGTGGGTCTCCACGCAGCACCCAGAGCCCAGAAAGCTCCCTCCAGCCCAGGATGACACAGCCCTACGGTCCCAGTCCCTGGGGGCTCTCTGCATCCCTCACTAGACTGTCACCTCCAACCGGGAACAACTCCCTCAAAGGAGAGAAGAGCCTGTCCTCTTCCCGCAAAGTAGACAACATCCTGACTTTTCATAAATGCATTCATTTTGCCAATTTTTTGGAATAATGTGGTGTGTTTTCTCTGTTTCTCTCTTTTCTTTCAGCATGGTGTTGGTGAGGCTCGCCCACGTTGTACGCATCTCGCTGTTCTATTCTTGTTGCTGTGTGGGAATACACTGTGTGTTTTATTGCTGTCATAATTCACTATTCTGTTGTATTCTCTTGGCTGCAAGGAACTGTGCTACAGTGAACGCTCGTGCTCATGTCTCCTAATGCACTTGGGGTTATGTTTCTGTCGGTAGGTGGGAGTGATGGTGCTGGGAGATGAACTATTTATCTGCACGACTGTGGTGGACACCACGGCTTTCTGAGGGCAGAAAACCTATCTTTACACAGCTACGTCTCTATCACCTAGCACAGCACTTGGCACTAAATAGCCACATCCAAATCAACACTGGTTCACTTTCCTCTTCAATCTATATCTATGGAACTATTGGTCGATCTCTGCTTCTCTGAATACCAGGAAGCCAGTCTATTCTTAGGTAGAAAGAGAAGAGTAGGCAGTACCTTCTGCCCACAGCCTTACTCAGTAGGGCAGATAAATATGCTCACCCTGATCAGCATTCTCAAAAACCTATAAATGTCCCCTTTTGTGTCTTCTCCACTCCATTTAGTCCCATCATTCATCATATTTGCTCTCCTTCACAGGAGAGTTTCAAGGGACCTTAAGACATGAAGCTCCTCTCATTTGCTGTTCTCTTCTGTTTGGTTCAAATGAACTCAGGCAAATGTCTCCTGGTTAGCCTTGGGGAAGGTTAGCCCTGGGGAAGGTAGGGCAGAAATTCCATTTGTGTGTGTCTATGTGGACAGTGTGTAGGTGTGTCTGTGTGTTGTTAGTGGGTACAGGTGGGCCAAGTTGGGGCTCAGCCTTGGACAATCCTGATCTCCCCTTTGAAGTGTTTTAAAAGCTAAATACATGGTATAAAGGTCTTGACATAAGACAAAAGAGTATATTTGCTCTGATACAAACGGGAAGTACTCACTGCAGTCTCAGAAACGTTTTCAGAAGGAAGTTATAGTCTTAGGAATGCCAGGGCTGGAAGGGAGTCACACATTGTCTATTGCAGCCCCATCCTCCACAAAAAGAAAACCAAAGTCCAGAGAAAGTATGAACTCGCCACTGTGCAGTGAATAATTATGGCCGTAGTAGGTCTTCGCACTTACAACATTCCCCCTGCTTGCACATATAACACACTTTACAGATGGGCAAGCTGAAGTGTAACCAGTTAAATGACTTTTCTAAGGAGACATGACGAGAAATGGGAAGAAGACAGACCACTATCAGGTCTCCAGGCTTCCATGCTGGGGGCTGTTCTGTCTTGTCTAAAGGTGGACCCCCCTTCTTCACTTTGCTGCCCCCTCAAGCTGTGGCAGGGTTGAGATGATGCAGAATCGGAGAGTAAACCCCGTCTGGAGCTTGGATGTTGGATGCAAGTGTTTTCACCATCAGGCAAGACCAACACTGTGTCGCTTTGTTGCTGCTGTTGTTTAAAGTCATTGTATGTGGCATTTGCAGATCTGACGTACGTGAGATCTTTCTTTCAACTATCTCTCACCCAATATCCTGTTGTTATAAAAAAATTTAGGTGGTCTTTTGTGACTTAAAAGCCTACAGGTACTGGTGAGGACAGAGGTTTTATTTTCTCCTTTTCATTGTGGTACATAAAAGTAATATTGGGCCATAAGCTGAGAATTGGTTAATATTTCTAATTTTCTTAGAGACAACGACCCATCCCATCTGGACAACTTCTGTTTTCCGAAGCTCCCTCTGCTTCCTCCTAGCACACACCTCTTTCCAGGAAGCTTGAGGACCCTGATTTAAGAGTGGCATGGGCTTTTGAGGGCCTACCTGGGCCAGATGAGCATGCACACAACACACCCGATCATCCTCCTGGCAAGATTTCAGATGTAAATGATCGTTCCTGTTTTAAAGCTAAGAAGCCAAAGCTCAGTGAAATCGGGACCTGTCCGAAAGTGCTTAGCACTGTCAGAATACAGTTACCCTCGGCTGTGGGCTGGGGTCATCTGCTAGTCTCTGAACTATGGGAATTAAATGTCAACTCTCTTCGGTTGTCTCCACAGGGGTGTTCCACCTGGAATTAGAAATACCATCTGCCTTATGCAGCAAGGGACCTGCAGACGTTTTTCTGCCATTCTGGTGAGAGAAAGCGTGACACTTGCTCTGATCCCTGGAATAGGTGTTGTGTATCAAATACAGAGGAAGAAGAAAAAGAGAAACCAGAGAAGGATGGCCGATCTGGGATCTAAAATATAAGCTCCTGGAAGACAGGGATCTTGAAGTATCCGAAAGGCTTAAAGGACTGTGTGGCTTATAGTCGGTGTTCAATAAATATTTGTTGAATGAATTTAGCACCAAAGGTGAAGAGTTGATAAAAAATTTTTCTTAACTTCCTGACTTCTCCATGTACTGCTTTTTTAAAGGGGTCTCAGAATTTTGATATTCCACTTGCCTTTCATAGTCCAGGGAATATCTCTCAAGTACCTGGAGATGGTAATAGTCTAGAAACCAAGCTCCACACTGATTTCCAGAGGGACATAAATGCAACCAATCTGCTGCTCTGCTTTCCATCTGATGGCATCTTTCTTATCACACCCAGCATCAGTTTTCTGCTTATACACCCAGATTCTAATGCTCCTTTTCCCTTTTCCCTTTATACCTCCTCAAGCAATAACACCAAGAGGTCACATTTCAGTCGGATAGAATTGTTCTCAAGCATTTACTCTTAGGCTATTTCAATGAATTAATGCAACAGTCTGATAGTATGTATAATAAGGTGCAAGCAGGTCCATTTCGGGAATGAAAGAGAAATGAAAATCATAAGGTTAAGCACATTTCCCCAGGCTAGCAACTCATAAAGGGCATTCTCGGTATGCCTGTCAGTCATACCTTCTAAAAAACCTATTTCTGAGCAATTGAAGCAGGGCAGGGCCCCTGTTCACGAAGGTTCCTTGATGCTTAGCTGTCTTTTGCCTCTCTCTGGCTCCTGCTTGAATTTGTTGAATACTCATTTCAAGACTAGTGAATACTAATTACAGGTGAGGAATGTAAGAAATAATAAAAACAAAGGTGCTGAGTGGTAGACACCACATGCCAAGCTTTTCCCAACTCAGATGACCTGGGAAGATACCGTGTGTCTCCGTTTCTGTTGCTGCCTGGGTCCAGTGTGCTCCTGAATGAGCTGAGCTACTTCACAAGCCCCCCTAGAATGTACACTTCGGGGCTCCAGTCTCAATTCCCAGCTCAAGTTGCCATAAATACTTGGCATAGTGCCTTTAGCCTCTCGCAGCCTCTTCTAAACTCACTCTTGGTTCTTTTTTGTTTTCTAAATACAATCAGACAGACCCCAGGAGCACACAGCATAAGCCTCTTTTCGGCACAGGCATCTCTGCAGGGCCCTCAGTCGTGCCTTCAGAGGGGAGAGCCATCGTTCCGTCCCTGAAGGGAATGACTTCCTGAAGGGCATTGGCCCCAGTTAGCCTCGGCTCAGAGTGAAACACAGCAAACATCCATGCCTCAGATCTGGCAGATGCATTCTCAGCCGGGAGTGGCACCAGGCCACACCAGTAGGTCTGTGCACCAGAAACACAGAACAACATGAAGGAGCCCTGGGGGGCTGAAGCCTGGTTCCACAAGGACGGGAATTCTGGGCAGGTGCCATTACACAGCAGCCCCTTCTCTCGGTCACATGTTCCTCGGAAATGAAATGAAGGAGTTGGGCTCCATCTCAGACCCCATCAGAGCACAGCAGCCTGGGGGTGTGTAAGCACAGCCTCACCCAGGGACCTAGGGGGTCTCCACCCGGCAAGGTGGGGAGGCTGGGAGCCCCATCCCTCCCTGTCAGGGTGGTGCAGGTGAGAACCACTAGGGAGCCCTTGCAGAGTCCAGGGCTGGCCAGAAGGGTGCTCTCATGGGCCCTCTGCTGTATTATTTAGTATTTTTAAGGTAGACCCTGGGCCTCAGCTGGTCTCTACTGTGGAAAACGTTATCTCCCCCCCTCATGTAAAATTTCTTCAAAGGAAGTATTTGTCCACCTGTCGGGCATGGTAAAAACTGGTACCTATGGCATTACCCAGCACAAAACAGGCCTGAGAGTGTTTGCTGAGGCTTCCAGGAAGTGAATACTAAGGTGAGGGGAGGGGAGGGGAGGGGAGCCAGCCCAGGCTCATAGGGTCCTCAGTGGTCGGCTCTGGAGTTGCTCTGCTCCCTTAAATTTTTGTTTGTTTGTTTACTTTTTGGCTGTTTTTCTTTTTCTTTTTTTCAATGTAAAGTGTCTCTGTGAGGCCTGAGAATGAATCTGACTGGATTAGCCCAGAGACCAAATGAGCCCCCAAAACTGGAGCTTACATTTTCGTTCCGCCCCTCCGGGATATTGGGCAGATGTCTATCGCATCCCTGTCACTGTCTGTAAAGTGACAGGACTGAACTTAGTCCTAAAAAGTCCTGGCATTGTTCTAAGACGGAATCCCCAAAAGGCTCTTTTACAAAGCCTGGAACGCCTGGGCCAAGCAGGCACCCCGGCAATACCAAGACCTACCACGCGGGGGCGCACTGCTGCTCTAACGCAAGTTGCAGATGGGCTTTTTTGACCACCTGTTCTGAAGCTGGGCACGGGGCTGAGGAAGGAGCAGCTGGGGTCACAGCAGCGGACAGCCAGGGGGCCCGGCTTACCAACGCTTCTGGCCTGAATGTCAGTGGCACTGACTACAGTGCCTCATTCCTCTGTGCCCTGCACAGGGTACCATTCACGCCAGGTGTGTGGACATGAGTTCAGACTGAAACTGCTGGGATATTTACTGAGGCATTGTGGTGCATCTGCTCTTTTTTTGGGAAAGAGTAGAGCCCCCCTGTTCCAGCCTCCTGTCTTCTGGAGTCATGACTGCAGGGTGGCCCAAGCAGATGGGCCTCAGGGCCTAGCAGGCAGCTCTCTGCAGCGGGAGAGCCAGGGCCTCACCACAGGGTCCAGGGTTCTAAGCCTGGGCTGCCTCCCCCGGGCTCCATGTAAGAGACCGGAATATGATCCTAAGTTTGAGGATAAATAGAAAGTAGTGATTGCATCCACCCCATCCTGCCCTCAGTTCCCATCTGTTTTCAACCTGAGGATTCATCTGCCTTGTCTTTGCTAAGACACCTTCAGCCTGTGTTCAGGGGAAGCTGGGAAGAGGTGCTGGGAGACCCAGGACATGGCAAGTTGCTTCTCTGCCTGGCACTCGGAGGTGTGTGAACCCTTTGCTGACTCCAGGAGAGGCAGGAGGGTGCCTGGTGGTGGGCTGGGGCTCCAGCCAGCCGGCCGGGGCAGAACAACCAGGCCTGGTCCAGTGGGGGCCCAGTATGTTATTCCTGGCAAATCTTCATACTTTCCACATAGCTCTTTCTTCTGAGAGAAGTATGATCGTCTCCACAGTATCTGTAAAAAATCAGCTTCCTGAGATGCCACGGGAACCAGCAATGACAGAGCTGTTCCCTCCTCATACTCAAATTGACTCAAATTTCAACTCCACTCTGAAGCCTTCCTGGCCCTCTCCCTGCTTTCCTGCCTGGCATTGCCCACTGCTCTGCGTCTCTGCCCCTCAGACACTTTGGCACATCCTATCATAGGGTCTTGTCACTCTGTTGCCATTATTCATTTACATATTTGTAGTCCTCCCTCTAGACCTTGAGCTTCTCAAGGACAGAGCCTGGAACTCATAAATACTCATATTTACCCTTTCAGTAACCAGTGAAGGCCAGTAAATATGAAAAAGAGGAAGGAATGAGTAAACTAATCTAAGCCTCAAACCGGGTCTTCTTCAGTGCACCACCGCTGTTCTTTTTAATCCAAGCGCTGGCGCAGGTTTCACTAGGGGATGCAGGGAAACCCCATGGTGGCTGCGGCCACATCCTGGTCACAGCCCGCAGCCTGCAACCCTGTCTTCTCTCTCACAGCCCCTGGATTTCACCACCTTCTTCCTTGTCTATTCCAGCCTCTCCCGCTCCCATTGGGGTTCTCTTCTCTAAAACCCAGTCAGCAGGTGGGGTGAGGCCTTTATTACAGAGCCTTACAACAGAGCTGTGACCCCTTCATTTTCAGGGGCTTAACTCTTACCCCATGGGAGGAGGGAGGCTGGAGCAAGGGCTAGAGAAGTGAAGAGCCCTCTGGCCCCCGAGTCTCCACCCTGAGCATCTGCCCCGACAGTGTGACATGTGCACCCTGCCGAGACCAGCTCGGTGGTAGAGACCCCAACCCAGGCGGTGCGGAAGGAATTAAGAAACAGAAACAAAGATAGAGTGAAGAAGTGGGATCAGAGCGGGACGTCAGGGGTCTGCCAGCATTTCCCAGTGACAGCCCAGAGCAGACTCTGACCCACGTATGCATTCTTTGTGAACAAGTGATTATTTTTAATAAGCAGGTGCTCAGTGTTTCTTCATAGACTAAAGACAGACTAAACAGGCAGATAGTGAATGTTCTCCACTAAAATAGAATCAAGCCAGAAAGCACTCTGCGAGCCAGCAATGGGGACAAGGTCAGGTACCCTGTGTTTTGGGAACTGGTTTAACTCGTGCTGACTGGTACATACTGCTTGCTTATTCTAGCAGTTTCCTGCTGGGGATGGCTCGGCGTTCTTTGCCATTGCCTCTCAGCAAACATGTACTCAATCACACACGTCAGTACCTCCTCCCAACAGCACCCTCTGTCCCACCCTCATGGAATCGCAGACAGAAAAGGGGCCCAGGATGCCGTTTAACAAGGCCATGCCCTGATGGGCCGCATGGCATCCCGGAGAAGCCCTGGACTGGGAATCATACTGCCTGCACCCTCGTCCTGTGTCTGCCATCCTTGACCTCACTGAGCGTCAGCCCTTCCTTGATAATCTGAACACACGTGTGTGCTCTCTGATTTTGAAAACAAAGGATACATGAAATTCTTTGTGAACCATACAGGATTGGGACTATAGAGGTGATTCATTTTATTATCTAATATTTGAATCTTCTCGATTCAAATTAGGCAGCAAATGCGATTGGAGATTATTGTCAACCTCAAAAGGGTGCCTATTGCATTTTAACATCACACAGGTGGGGTAATTTAGTGACTAAAATATACCCATGCATATACATGTATACATTTACACTTGGTGTCTCGTTATGCAATTATAGCCAGAATGGATTTTTTTTTTTTTTTTTTGAGACTGAGTCTCACTCTGTCACCCAGGCTGGAGTGCAGGGTAAAATCTCGGCTCACTGCAACCTCCGCCTCCCAGGTTTAAGCAATTCTTCTGCCTCGGCCTTCCCAAGCAGCTGGAATTACAGGCATCTGCCACTGCAACTGGCTAACTTTTCTATTTTCAGCAGGCACAGGGTTTTGCCATGCTGGTG